ACTCGGGACAGGGTGGACTGAAATGTGTTCAGCTCGGCCACACTGAGCTGAGATGCAGAATCAGCTTGATTGTCGCATACAACTCCTTCCTGGGATTGTTTGGCTGCTAATTTTTGTTGCATCAGTTCTGCTTGTTTTTCCTCACGTACGTGACTTCTTCTTTCAGTTTTGCCGATGGTGACGCGTTCCCGCAGTCGGTTATTGAGGATGGCGCCGGAGGAGTCCACCTGAAACGAGAAATTTGAGAATGTAGTGAATGTTTTAAGATTTTGGATTAAGAATGGCCATGTCACATGCGTTATGGTTATTCGAGGCATCCTGCTTGAAGGCAACCACGTCGTCGCCTGATTCGTTGATGAAATACGATACATCCTTCCATTCAGCGGAGTGTTTAGTGAGGAACTCTGGCTGGTTGCCGTCGGCCTGGTTACACAGGCATCAAGGACTGGGGGGCGCAGGGAGGGGGGTCCGCTACGCGCGGGCGCGGGATTGTGCCCGAATCATCACAGTGTCAGAAACCAGCATTGAATATTTAGAGAGCTTCTGGATAGAGCCCAGAGCATTTGCTTTGTCTGAAGCATTCAAGGGCAGGTCGTGAAAGCCGACGGCTAGATTAAACACCATATTCGCAGCAAACTTTTGAGCATTTTTGGTATTCATGAGAAGTGCTGATTCTCGAAAGTCAAGTCCCAGACCAAAACCAAAAGTCTGCAACAGGAAATACTGTCCATAAGGCTAAACTGACGTGTTCACCTTGGGGAGATATTGAAGCAAATCGTGGTGCTTTTGACGAATGAAATTAACCCCCGCCTCTGCGACTGATTTGATGCAGTCACCTTCAAGCATAACACTCAGGCACTCTCGTCGAAGATCCAGCAGAATGTTATAGATGGTCTCGATCTTTGGCACCTGTGTACGGATGCACGTGAGCGGGGTGAGATTGTAACATGCGACTAGCAGGGTCAACAAAAAAGGTCCTGGCCATATTGGCGCAGTGGAAGTTGTAGCGTGCACCCAGTGATACAATTATCACATCATCGGACAGGTTATTGTTGTTGGTCGATGCGCTTGGTCTAATATCATAATTTCCGCCACTCTGTTGACAAAATCATTTCGAAGTTTTGGGTTAAAATTGCACAACGCTGCCTAACTCACCTGGACTATCGGAAAGTAGCATGATTCGAATTGTCCCCGCGGTAACTTTATGTTCATCATCGAGGGATCTTCGCAGCACTCGTCCGCCTTGGTTGCGAGTTCTTCGTGAGTGATCAGTTCTGCCTTGTCGAGGGCGGTTTCCACGAGTCGCACGATGATGTGCTTGAGGACCTTGTGTGTGATGATTGAAGCCTTCCGCGTGCTTGTTGACGCATGCTCATCGTTAACACTCATCAATAGTCCCAACGCTATTGTTACATCGATAGTTTCTACTCCTGCCTACAAATAGGAATGTATAATACACTGCCTCTCTGGGATACAAACGCGTCTATTGCCGAGCGTATCGCCTCGTCCCAAGATGTCGCGAGTGCGCCGCAAAATTTCATTTTTGTAAGTTGCCCTACTTTTAAATGTTGCATCTCGCTTATCTTATCAACGAGGAGCTGGACAGTATTGGTATGATCATGATCATTCGTGCCGGGCCTGCATGCACAAAATGCTCAGGGGAATTTCTGGGCTGGGACAACCTATGAAGCACTAATTTGGCCCCATCCGGCCGCCCCTGTTGCAGAGCCTCGAGCATGTTGCATTTTTTGTCGGACGTCATAACGTGGAGGGTTCCGCCGTGTAACACAACGAGCGAACCCGGCAGCTCGAGACCGAAAAGATGTATGAATACCGCTGAAGCCTTGTTAAAAGTTTGCGCATCCACCGATGCAGGGTCCATCGGGACGGCGATGACGCCCGCTGAGTTCCAAACACGTTCCGAGGTCAGCGAATCGCGCATCTTCGTCAGCCGCGCCCAGAAGATATGGGGATCCAAGAGGGCCATGTTAACAAAAAGCGACCACAGTGTACCTCGATTCCGAGTCGCTCGCCCCCCGGCCAAAGTGAGTATGTGTTCAAGGTTGAATAAAATAAAACGGATTTGTGATGCTGTTGAAGTTTTTGAGTAGTTGGCTCTGTACGCAAGACGACGGTGCCGGCTTTCAGATGCGACGAGACATGGCCAGGTCGGTGGTCATGGCGCCGAGATAGAGCCTGCCAAAGGTGCCCATCACCACTGCCAAAGCCCTCTTTGCCATCCATTTTCTCGAAAGCATACCCCTCCATTCGATCCGGCATCTTAAATAACCCAGCCACATGTGGGTTTATATATATACTCCCCAGGGCCGCATATTGGAGTGATTTAACTAGACTTACTTTACTTTCCCCGGGGCCTTGCTGTACTATCGGTCTATCTAGCTATCATGCGCACACCGACTTCGATGACGCGGTGTGCTAAGGAGAGGGAGGGGTGCCTTCCCTATCTTCGACACTCGACATTGCACTTTCACTTTTTTGCCCTAGCTACATTGGAGGCGCTGGTGTTGGAGGTGCTGATTATGCCGCGCCTTCGGCACCCGCCCTAGTTCCAACCGCAAGCGCCTCAATGGTGCAGGCTATGAGCAGCATGGTAGCAGCCTATGCCGGCGGTTTTTTTAGCCTCAGGCTAGTGGGAGACACGAAAGGCCAAGTGGACGGAAATTACCAGGTGGACGCGATCGATATTATTGATACATAGACTAGTAATCAAATCGCTAAAATGGATGTAATCGAAGCTCGCGAAAAGATGATTGCTCGTCGGTTTGGCGGCGCTCAACAATCTCGCACGGGTGGTAAGGGGAGTGTGCGCCGCAAAAAGAAAACAATGCATAAGACGGCAACCTCGGATGATAAAAAACTGGGAAGTACGCTGAAGAAGCTCGGAGTCACTAACATACCAGCCATCGAAGAAGTCAATTTATTCACATCAGATGGCAAAGTGGTCCATTTCTCAAACCCCAAAGGTAAGCTGACTTGCGTATATATATATCGCCAAGTAATGGTTTCGGTGTCTCTTAGTGCAAGCGTCGATTGCAGCGAACACTTATGTTGTCAGTGGCCCAAATGAAACCAAGCGTAAGTCAGCATTAGACAATCATGCGGTACGGATCTCCCCAATGCACAGAACTGACCGAGCTTTTGCCTGGCATAATGAATCAACTAGGACCTGATAACATAGACCATCTAAAACAAATTGCTGACAAAATGTCTTATTCAAATCGTGCCCCATCTGCCAGTTCCAAGGATGATGAAATAGATGACGACGAAGTTCCCGATCTCATAGAAAATTTCGAGGACGTCAGCAAACTCTAGCGTTGCATTCGAGTGCATAGAGCATTCAGGTCTTGATTCAAATTTCATGAACCGTGGTCAATGTTTGCGCTCCTTCCCATCTATAACCATGAAAGCCAGCGATATGCATGCGAAGTCCGTCGACTACAGGATTGCGGACAGCGGACAGTTGATGCCCTATTCTGAGTTCGCGATTTGGCGACGACCAGGCCACGCTAGGCCAGAACCAGAGCGCTAGAATATGCAATCGAAGCCGCACGCTGTGCAGCAACCTCAGCCGCGACTCATAATAGTGGCCACAGCAGCGGGTGGTGGGGTCTTGTTTTGCCTGAGGGCAGATAGCTTATGGTTACTGCCGCCGGCGCGACCCCGACCGGAGCGCGACTTGCAGTTAAGGGGAGTAAAGTAAGTCTAGTTAAGTCACTCTAATGGGCGGGGAGTATAAACCCACCTACAATCAATCGACCGCCGCTGAGGTGGTTGGGAAATGTTACCAGCTCCTGTGCGCTACTAGTAAGCGCTCTCTGTAGCGCGAAAATGCCTGGGGGGGGGCGTTGGGGGAACCCCTCTGACAATTGCTTCGAAGCCTGCTGGACAGTGGGATCTCGCTTGGATAATGCCAGACAATGCTGCCCCCGGTCGGAGTGGAATAGGCCCAGGCTCTTCATCATGAGCATCACAGTGGCGGTTTAAACCAGATTAAACCTGACAGGGCTGCTTATGGACCTGAGGTGGGCCTATTTGGGATATCGGCGGCTATTCGTTTGTTCTCAGCGGTGGGGCTCCCTTGGGTTCGTTGTGAGTGCCGCGGGGTTCTGCGGGGTATGAAGCCCTCGAAACCTCGGGGGCTAGACCATGGCGGTCCGATCGCATCCGACCGCATTCAAACGCCGCAATTCAGACGACCCGACCCTGGCGCATCGACAGTTTCATCAGCGCTTCATCTTCTCGACCCCCCCCCATCAACGACCCCCCCCCCCATCAATCCAGACTTTCAGCGCAGCAACAGAGGACCGCCTGGATACAGCACCACGCCTTTGAAGCCAAGGCGCGGCCAGCAATATTTCGGCTGGGAGCCGCTTGCTGGGCTCTTTATGAAGGCATTGAGTGATGAAATCAACAAACTCAAGGGATGAACCAACTGGAGGTGTCGGAGAGTTCGCCTCAAGTATGGTCTGTGCCATCCCAATGCAGGTGTTTTCCTCGGGATATGGATAAATCCCCATGGCACACTCGAGAAGGACAAGTCCTGTGGACCAAATGTCCGATGCAAACGAATATGGTGCTGAGCATATACGCTCAGGGGACATGTACCTAGGTACAAGTGATCTAGATGCAGTGATCTTCTTCTGCCTCTCTCTCTCCTTCAGTCTTTTGGGGGCGCAGGGATGCTACTTAAAAGTACCCACAAAGGTCCCACACATTGCAATTGAGTTCCCCAACGTTGCTGACACACCAAAATCAGTGACCTTAACTTCTCCATTTGAATTTATGAGCAGATTTGATGGTTTTATGTCTCTGTGAACCCTTTTTTGTTTCTTTAAGTATGCAAGTCCATACAAAATCTGGAAGGAAATATGAGCCAAGGCTTCTTCTGGGAGTGCACCAACCTACGATCTGATAATGAAATACAACCAGCGAAATACAGAAACCTGGGAAACAACATTAGCCAGACTGCCACCATTCATGAACTCGAGCGCGATTGAGATCGCACCTTCACGGTAAAAGGCTCCATAAAACCCAATAATTGCTGGACACTCACAGTCGTATAGCGATTTAATCTCGCGTATGAGTTGGTCTCGTTTTGAACGCTCAAACATGTTTATCACTTTGAGAGCTATTGTCAATGGGCCACGGCGCACACAAGTGTATGTAGCCTCGAGCACAACTGACGAAGATCCCTGTCCAATTACGTGACCGATCTGTAAATCCTCGTAGACCAATTTATCTCCAAGCTTATCTTTACTCGTTACATGTGTTTTTGACTCGGTGCGCATCGAAACGCCCTCTGCGTCAATCCGCATTCCATCCCGATGAAACACCTTGCCGCCAGCTTCAAACGACTTCTCCAAGTTCGCGTTGCCAGAAACTGAGTCAACATCGATCGACAACGAAAGATTACGGCGACTTCTCATTCTATTGCTCGATTTTAGCCCCCCCCCCAATAATACATTATTGTTTCAGCTTGCTTGGCTTCATGATTAGAAGAGGTACCTGTCTGGACACAGATAGTTAACACTGGGCCACACGCAGCTCAACTGCTCATAGATACCGCTGGTGATTTGCTCCAGAGTGATGATATAATATTATGTGAGGTGATATATGTGCAGGTGATATAGCCGCCAGGATATTCAGGATACAGAGGAAAGAGAGAGAGAGAAGATATATCTCGTACTCGAGTGCGAGTAGTCGGCTGTCGCTGACATCGTCTCTATTATCGTGCGCCTGGAGCGCACCCCAGGAAAATCCGAGTCTTCTTTTGGGAGGGAGGAGTGGGTAAATGGCAGAGGATCAGGCGGCGGACATGCCGCCGGCAGGAGGGTCTCATACCTTACCTAGGGAGTTTTCTCTAGTTAGAGGAATATGAGAGTATCCCTAGCTAGGCCCATTCTCCCTCCCCTCGTACTCTATTTCTCCACGGTTTATGCTAAGCCTGAGGGGAATTACGGGGCTGCACCCGGTCCTAAAAAAGGATTCCATGTCCGGAGTCCTATTTTACCTACAGCGAGCGACGGTGGATATAAATTCAGCTTTAGTGACGGCGTTGCTCCTCTTTTCTTTCTTACTCACTTAAACCTACTCAAGCGGTCGGAGGTGGAGAGCCCCGATCCCATTAGCCTCCGGGCCCGAGTGGGTAGTCTACCTAACTATTACCATACCCTGGTCCTAGAGTCGGGCTGAGGGTAAACTTCTTTTATATGACGCAGCTTTATCTTGGTTTGGTTCACACGTGTCAACTTGAATGGCACTTAAAACTCCTAGGTCGCGAGCCCACTTGCGAACCCACGTATAGCGCCCCGGTTTAAAAGATTCTAAAAGGCCAACAAAGGGCCAACAGCCCACTCCCAGCGCACTCGCCTGGCAACAAGAGGGGCAGCCAGCGACCGCGCGTGCTTCCTTCGGTGCCGCTGGCGGCATTCGGCAGCGTAGTCGTCTTGGGTTCGACCTGTGGCGCCCACAACTTCGATGGCGCTTCGGTGTCCCATGCAAGTGCCTCTTATCAGTGTATACCTGTGCTCGCCTGAGTTTCGATTTGATCGTTTGAGTCGCATTGTATGAGCCATTATGTTGCTGCTTTGGATCACTCGTTGTGGTCTGTGGACGGACATCTAGCATATTAATATGACGCGACTGATCACTCGTTTGTTAATCAAAAGCTATACGATCTAGGCGATCACACATCAGTGCTATCCTTCTCTTCAGCTTCTCAGTCGTCAGCGGGAAACTAAGAGCAGTGGGCGGCGTGGAAGTGAATACTCCACTTTTGTTGATTGGATACGAGAGGACGGTACTTGAAACCGCAGGACGAGGCCTAGAGAGGGAGTTTTTCAACATGAACGTCAGGGAAGCGTCAGTAATCTCTTCCCAACCAGCAAGTGAGTCTTCATGAGTTGTCAGGTTGTGTGCAACTGTGTCTGTATGGAGATGGCTTGATATTTCACTCAACTCTTCAGAAGAAAGGGAAAACCGAAGGCGAATTAGCAAAGCCATCAGACTTGTTGAGCAACTTAAAATGCTAGAACAGCGCGTTCGCTCTACCTGGGCTTGCTCTACAGCTGACCCAAACTTCAACACGCTATCATATGACTGTTGCATCAGTGTATCGAGGTGATGAATTGGAGCAGGTCGACTGTCCTTGAAACGAACCAGTAATCGCTTCTGGATGATTCGAAATTGATGGCAAATGTCGTTTAGTAAAGACTCGGAAGAACGAACGGCTACTCGCGCCGCGTGGTGATTGTCGACTGCGGCATAAAAATCTGAAAGGGGCAATGGGTCTCTGTATCTTAGTTTGATGCCTCCGTCTTTACTCATCCATCGTTTCTCGAGCCTATTGCAGAGTTCGCTAGCCACCAACCATAGAGCAGGAAGCACAGCGGACTGCACACGATATCTCCCCGTGTTTTTTGATACAAGCACAGTGCATGTAGCTGGTGATGCAGCACCTTGAGTATCATCCGTAAAGCTCTTCAAGGCGACTGGGCTGCTGGTGGCATCAACTTCTGTAAACCAGTATTTGAATGAGATTGCTGATCTTGTAGAAGCTGACATGGTATCGACATCGGCCTGGACAAGCATATCTGCAAAGAGAGTGCCCAATGATACCTATTGTGTGCCATGGATGGTCAATCAAGATAGCAAAAATCAATGGTTGCGCTGTTTACTGACAGCAGCTTGGTCTGTATCGAGAGTAAGCTTAAACACAGCGCCACGAGTTGGTTGAGATGACTGCACATGGCAGGCGAGGCTCATCGGTAACGGAAAAGATATTGATGCACATCGAAGGACTGAACCCTGGGCCAAGTACGTTGCAGTTGCAGATACTCTCATACTTGAAGGTGGAATGGCTGCACGAGCAAAGAATACACATTGAAGCATATGAGGAGTCACTACTCCACCACCGACGGCCACAACTCGATCCAGAGGGACATCGCTCTTGACCCACGTGGGAGCAGCAATTGCAACCTTGACATCTCGAAGAGCGCCAACACCAGAAAAGGATATATAGAGCCTAGCGGTAGCAGAAACATACTTGCTCGAATGATTCCTATCGCAGGTTGGGTGTGGGGGCGCTGTGCATTTGACGGCAGGCTGATGCGGCATAAACTGAGTATGAGTTCGCACCTTTGTCTTCGGATGTGTTGATCACAGGTGACTGCACAAAGCCTGCTAGGCGAGTAATGTCATCTTCAACCGGATCTCTAGTTGCACAATCAGCTGCATCAATGGTCATGAGACTGCACTCAGCCACATGCGAATGCTGCGCCCGAAGCAACACTCTTGATTCAGTATCTGCTTGCTCCAGAGATCCGGAAGCACGAGCTCTGATATCTTTTCGAATGGCACGTAGCTCATCAGCTGCTGATCGGATGCCAGGTTGAAATTGGGGTCGTTCGGCTGTTACCTTCTCCATCAAGGGTTCAGTTCCAAAAAATCTAATTGCGAGATTGCTAAAAATAAATAAATGGGTGTTATAGATGCGTACGCTGTGCCTACTGTAGGGAGACACGCCCAGAATCATCGAGGACCTGCGAGGGAACTTTCAGATTGGAAGGCGCTTATATATATAAACTTCGCTTAAGATATACCACCAACATTCCAGCCGCAGCGCCTCTCGCATGAAGAACCTGCGCGGCGTATCACAAACTAAGATGAGGCGAGCCAACTTGCGGCGGTGCTGCTGACATCACACACTGCAATAGCAAGAGGCGAGCTGCCATCGCTATGGGCGCCACGCGTGGCCCAGATGATTTTTAGCGTGTTGGAGAGCACAATGACGCGTGCGTCTGATGCTCCAAGGATCAAGTTGTCACAAGCGTCACCATCTTCGCTGGTGGGATTACACATGTTCGGCCTGTCTTGTTCCTCTCCTGTTACCTATGTGCGGTGTACATTGTTGCGGGCGTCTTAGCATAAACACGTGGCCCACATATTGTTTCTGCACGAGCAGGCGCTTCGAAAAAATAGACAGGGAAACAGGCTCGAAGTCCAGAAGTTTGACAGCTTTGATGGTGCCTGTGATTGATAGCACAAAGAGGGTACGCTCTCCAAGAGCAATTACATCACCTGCATACCATGAATACACATGTACACAAGAAAGGTTTAACAATAGACTCAGCTCAGAATGACAGGCCGAGGATGACATAGACAAACGAGCGACAGCGAAATTGCGGATTGGTTCACCAACATTGCATGTCCAATCCGATGTCACGACGCGCCGGGTGGTTATGCCACTACTGCTGGTGGACTCGTCTAAAGACCCACTTCCACATTCTGCCATAGAGCTGATATCTTGGTCAGTTGAGGTTGCTAATACCTACGGCTGACCAATCACGCAACTAGGCACAGTCTGATATCACTTTCAACATACTTGATATTTGTAACATTTCACCAATAGAGCTGGCGTGCACATGACAAAAGCGTCTGCGCACGCGATGTATTCAAACGGTCCAGGCGTGAGGCAGTCCTGCAAGCGCCGGGAGAAGGCTTCCGCCTACACGTGCTTAAAATCAGGGATCACATTAGGGTAGAACGCTGCATCAACATCATTCTCATAGATAGTAATGCGACAATCCATACTTTGCACAAGCATCAAGTCATGATCTCTTGCGCCACCAAATGGTCCGAGACATAACGAATATGCAGTGAACTGCACACCATTGGCATAAAAACGGTGAATGTACTGAGGTACAAGCTCAAAGTGCGAAGTCCCCCCTCCTCCCTCGGCATCTCCTGTGGCTGCGGAAGCGCTGGATCGCGCCCTGCATGTGTACACTGCGAGCTTGCGCGGATGCAAAACAGCGATGGCAACATCTTGTTTGCTATTCGGGATAAGTCGCCCAAGTCTTACTTGCAGAATTGGAGAGTCTAGGCGGGTCTCTAAAAGCAGTGACGTTGCATCGCCAGTGCCAGCCGATAGAATCTGAGGATCGTGAACTCGAATCCGTCCTTGTACAGAACCAGTGACTAGTTTCGGGGCGTTTTCAGGCGAATTATCCACATTTCCCACCGCTAAGACATCCTCACCGAATATCTCTTCGCACCCTAGCTTTGCCGACCACCATTCACGCAGTTTAAAAAGTGACATAATCTTTTCGCCGCGAAGTAGCCCCCCTGGTTAGTCGTTTTGGACCATCGTTGTTTCAAACTACTGGATATTTATCTAGGGCCATATTAAGTTTAAGCCGATGTGATAGTACAGTATCTGGGATACCTCCGAGCATATAGAAAATAGTCATGTTATAAAAACCCAGAGTAGCGATCTTTCGTCCGAGACGCACCATTCTTCCAAATTGCAATGAAGGGCACCTGGCGGCGCCCCGAGGCCACCCATTCGCAAATATACTTGCAGGCACCACCGCGTGTGGCGTCGGAGAAAGAATACGTGCCATCTTTGTCC